GGGAAAAATGTGTCCGCCCTTTCCATCCGACCGAGTATTTTTGCTCACAACTGTAGGTGATTTTTTTTCCCTTCTTTTTCCTTCACGATTTTTCTTTGTCGAGTGCTCCAGATCCTTCTGCAGGAATCAATTTAAAACATCTATAATGTAGGAGTCAACCTGCACTTCTATTCTGCCGTATTTTTTTTTCCCTACGACAACTAACGGATGTTCGTCCAATTTTTTTTGCCGCTTTGTTGTTTCGATTTAAATGATCAAGTTCAGTCATCTTCCTCATTGCCCAGATGATGATGCATTTCACCTGTTGAGATAAAAAACTAATTGAACCAGATAATGAAACTAATGAATTCTCAAATTTAGAAGTGGTCAAGGAAAATTATGAATTTCCGTGTGAAAAGAACTGGTTCTGTCTTGATGACTATGAAAGACGGATGATTGTTGGTCATGATAGTTTCCTCGTACCTTTTTTGTTACCTGAGAATATTTCGGCAGCTGGTAGGTGCCTGGGAATCATCTTCCCTTCAGCTAAAAACTAATCCATCCAATTATACGCCCTTTGTCTTCTAATTTCGGGCGACTTCCCGCTTGAGAAAATAAAAAGTGCAAAATAACATCTCCATAGAGTTGTTATTAAATTTTCTCGTCGGCATTTTCCGGCGGGCGGACAACAGATTCAGTTTTTTTGAGCCACTTAACCTTCTAATCTTCACGAACTTGACCCATTGAATTTTTATGATTGATGTCTCGAGATGAGAGACGCCGGAGAGAGACAGGCTCATCTCAATTTACAGTTGATGCTAGAGAAAAGGTCTCTTCTATTTTTCATCCCCCATCGAATTTTTCCCCTGGGGTATGGCACAACACTGGGTGCATGCTCCCGGCATTGTCCCATATCCACTTGAGACTACACGTCTCTCCGACTTCGAGACATGTGATGAAGAAGGAGGGAGTTGAGGAAAAAAAAAAGAAATAGTCAAAGATGGCGTAGGAAATCGTGACTGAGAGAAGGCGAAAGAGATCACTCCGCGGCCTTGTCGCGACGACGTCCTCCACCCGGTGTTTGTATGTTTGTGGCATTTTTTATGGAGAATTTTTTTTTTTTATTTCACATATTCGCTTGCGCCACGTAACGAGACCACAGTCAGAAAGAGAGAGGAAAAAGGCGTATTTGTAACGACCCGTGGAAATATGTGTGGCGTGACAGTGGCACGCACGTTTATAACACAATTGTAGAACGGTGACACATACAACGTTCGGTTTTCAATCGATAGGTCTGAGTGGTAGGCAAAACAGGGTTAAGGAAATACCTCAGTTCCTGAAATTTCGCCACATACAGTTGAAAATGTATTCAGCATCTGTCCGCTAGCGTACACGAATATCGCCATTTATCGCTAAAGTTTGAGTTCGATATGTGCGATATGTTGCGATATAATCTATAAAATCACCGTGAAATTCAATTTCAAAGATATAGGCGCGTGAATATCGCAGTTTATCGCTCATAATCGCAATAATAATTCGGTTTATTCAAAATTGCTTCTCTAAAATTACCGGAAGATGACTTAAAATCGATTGAGCCATGTCTCTTTGAACATCTGCTGGGTCTTAGTGCTAGCTGTAAAATATTAAAAAAATACGTAAGTTCGAGAAATTTCACGATTTTTTACGATAAATCGCGGAATATTCGTCCAGAATCTGTGAGCATGAATATCGTCACTTGGATATCACAAGATATGGCGGATTTGCATTATCGAAATGTGCGATTAATTGCGATATAACTCGTACAATGAACCTGAAATTAAATGTAGAACAGATTAGCCCGTGAATATCGCAATATATCGCACCTGGGTATCCCAAAAATTCGGCAGTTACACTTGAAATATTCCTAATAAGTAACTCTGTGAAAAAGCCATTACCTGAAACCTGAAATCCATTAATAAAATCGGTCGAATAATTTCTCCCTGATCATCCAGTTGGCCTGAGTGGCAACCAAAATATTAACGAAAATATTTGGATTACTGAGTATAACTCTAATATCACAATATATCACGGGCTTTCGGGATCGATACACGCGATATGTTGCGATATAATCCGTGAAATGAACTAGAAATCCTGTGTGGAAAATACGAACCCGTGAATATCTCAATATATCGGTGATATTCATAAGAAAATTTGGGCAGTTTCACGTAAAATTACTTCCATAAGTACCTCTTTAAAATCGCCGGAAGGCAATGAATAAAACGAACCAAATGATTTCCCCGTGTTCATCTGAGAGAACGTCAGACTGGTTTGAAAATTATGGAAATGTTCCGTCTTCAATTCACCATTATAACATCCCTCTCATCTTCTCTTTCTCTCGTCCCACCAAACAAGACCGATGACGGATGGGATGTATAGCATTTTGGCATATGGGTATACAACGTTATGCAGTGGGGCGGGTAAAAGTGGGGAGATGAGGTACATAAGTGGCCCCTTTTTTCGAGAAAAATTCTCAAAGGGCCCAGATTTATATTCCATTCTTCTCGGATTTTGTATTCTACTAATCTGTGATTCTTAGACGTTTGGTACTCTTGCCGAGTGAAAATACATTGGAGATTGATCCGCCAATTTATCGCTCCGAACTAGAGCCTCTCCATTCAATTGGAAATATAAAAAAAAACCCCCCGGGAAAAGTCTAATCCACTTTGACGTATTTTTTCAATCGACGGAGACGATCTGGCAGGAGGAAGAAAACGGAAAAAATATCTCAACAATTTTTCACTTCCACAATTACCCGAAAATTAACCCGGACAAACAGGAAGAGCTCAGTTATGCATTTTCGTCTCCGTTCGATATTTTTCATCCTCAATTTTTTTGTAAATGAATGTTGTTTTTTCCCCCAACTCTTGAGTCAGTTTAAGAAGTCTAGCCAGTGGCTCATTAATGCCATCATCGTCTGGGTTGAAAACACATCCTCGAGTTATGCCTCTAAAAGTCCGAGGTATTATAACTCCAAATTGACCATGACTCTCACCAAAAGCTGCTCCAACCATACAAATCATCTCGTGTTTCGAGTGAAAACGTCATTAAGGTCGTGAATAATTCGAGAGTTATTATCTCACGTTTCAAAATCCGACGGGATATATCATCGCGTTATTTTAATTATATCGATCGAAAGGGAATAATACGAAGGTCGTCCACATCTCTTCCGAAACAATGAGACAATCCACTGTTGAGCTAGGTCCCGACGGAAGAACTTGGACCTCTCGTCCCCAGTGACTCAAAAAGAAATACCTGAATATATTTACACACAGAGAAAAAAAAATGAAAGAAAAGAGACGGGGAATTACGTGTGGGCCGGTCACCGCGGAACAAGCGAACTTGACACGAACAAGGACGCGTTTTGAAAGGAGGAAATGCTAAAAAAAAATATATAGATATACATATATATAATATTTAAAGTGATTTGAGTCGTTAAAGGACAGACCCAGCGAGTCAGCTGTTTAACCATGAAGAATTACGTAATATCGAATGTATTACAGCACCTGAGAAATCTTAACCTCATAATAATGATAGGTCTAGCTCCTGAACTTGCGAGTGCCTAATGTTTAACCTGTGAAGTCATCCTGTGACCGTTGAGATCGGAGAATTTGAGAAATATCTCGTGACTGAGATAAATTACTTGTATCCGTGGTTTATGATTGTTTGCCTCATTCTCTCTCCATATCCAATCCAAATGGCTTTAACTGAGTGAGAAGTAATTTTTCAATGGGTAGTGCAAATGATCGAGAGAGATGAATGTTATAAAATGTTGCGAGATCTGTATGCGGTAGCGAACTGAGGAGGCAAGAGCGTGAGTCCAGGCCGTCAGGTATATGCCTTCAGGCTGTACATGATAGACAAGGTCAGCCACGACAGTCTATGTATTTAGCGCATGCGTGTGTATGTTTAGCTGGTTTTCATTTAGTCTCAGCTTGATCTTATAAATCAAACCAGGAACTGTTCCCCTCATTGTGTCATAAAAAAGGAAAAGCCCAGTTAATCGACTGATTACCACTACTCCATCCCAATTCAAAATATATATTAATTATACGTCCATGTATTCCGGGAAAAATTGTCATATATGAGATATACTCTGATTATATGTGAATATATTATATTTTACACTTATATATTCGATATATATCTGGTGTATACGTGAAATATATTTGTTGATGATAATCCTAGCCCGCGTGGAAAATGATATATTTGCGAATAATATATAGTAATTATACACTCATATATTTCCGTGAAAAATTCTATGTATCGGGTATATGCGGAATATACGCGAGCACGTGTGTCACACAAATATTCGGCTTATATCTGATATATTAGTTGTATATATCTGTGGAAAATTATGATGTTATCTGTATATCAAATATAATTATGGACCTATATATTTTTTCCGTGAGCGATAGGTTTCACGCGGAGTGAAAAACTTTTTTGAGAAGTGCGTTTTCACAAAATGGTATTTACTACTGTGAGAAAAACGCCTGAGACAAGGAATGTAGTACTTTTCCGAAAGACGAGGAGTTCTCCAGGAAGCACGTCGCTTATTGTATCAAAGAACTGATGTCTCGAAAATTGATAAGATAATCACATTTTACTCGAAGAGAAGAAAAACTTCTATTAAGAAATAATGCACTCGGTCGAAAGATGATGATAATTTATTTACAATCGAAATGTGATTCCTGAAACCGCGAGTCTAGCTGAGTGGATTTACTCTCAAGTTTTCTATTATCAAATCGAATAAAAGATTTTAATGTAAAAACTGGTTAACTTGATTGGAGAAGGTCCGCCTTGTTGTAAATTAATTGTTGATGATTTTTGGGATTATTGAGTATGATTAACTTCGTAAAAGTAAAAAGACGCACTTGTCAGAAAAACAGTTTTCATTGAGATATTTCAATAAGATTTAGCATTTGATGGTTATTTGACAAAGTTAAGATGAACTAATGAGTACCTTGTAATTTCGTGTGTTTCAGATATTCGGGAGTAAAGCGGATCTCCAATTACACACTCAAATACACATGAGGGAGGCAAAACCCTACAAGTGTACGCAATGCTCAAAAGCATTTGCAAATTCATCGTATCTATCACAACACACACGTATACATCTTGGTATAAAACCATACCGCTGTGAAATATGTCAACGTAAATTTACCCAGTTAAGTCATCTACAGCAGCACATACGTACACACACTGGTGATAAACCATACAAATGCCGTCATCCTGGCTGTACTAAGGCATTCAGTCAACTGAGTAACCTGCAGAGTCACTCACGCTGCCATCAGACTGATAAACCATACAAGTGCAATTCGTGTTACAAGTGTTTCTCAGATGAGCCAAGTTTACTTGAACACATACCAAAGCACAAAGAGTCGAAACATTTGAAAACCCACATATGCCAGTACTGTGGCAAAAGTTACACCCAGGAAACATATCTGGCCAAGCACATGCAGAAACATGCTGAGAGAACGGACAAGAGACCACCGATTATTGGCACTGGTTTGAGGCCATCGATTCACGCTATGTCAGCCCATCATCAGGATCCACATCATTATTGGCCGAAAGTCAGTCCAGATTCGGTTATTAGTGAATTACATGATAGATTACCACATCATCATGCTGCTGCAGCGGCTGCTGCTGATTATCATCAGAATCAGAACAATGATATGTTGTTACCATCGCATGGGGGTCACAGGGGTGAAGCCAATATCGAGAATGACTCGAGGCAACAGACACCACAACCACCTGGTAATCATCATCCAAACAGTAGTTCAGCTTTTACTCCAATTTCATCGATATCGATAAATTCCATATCATCGATGCAGCATCCGTTGAATCCACTTAATCATCTACATTATCCTGGTAGTCATCATCCAGCGTCGAGACCCTATCTTTATGAAGCTTTCAACTCGCAAAAGTCATCACCAACTTCTAGCTCCGGTGTTACCTCTGGGACAACGACCAATCAAAATACAGCATCATTTCCTAATCAATTGATCAGCTTACATCAGATCAGAAATTACGCTCATCAACCTAATCTTGGGAATCTTGGTAATCTTGGAAATTTGAGTAATCTCAGTAATCTTGGTAATTTGAGCGCTTCTATGGAGGGGCATACGTTGTTAGGTGGACTCAAAGATAAGCAGTGAATAGGGAGATGAAAGGGAGAAAAATAATTAACAAGTTTGATCAATTATTTTATTTTTTCTCCAACCCTTTGTACTCTTTATTTTTCTGCTATGGTTAATTTAATTTCTCATTAGGGAGGCGAAAGAGGCGAAAGAGGGAGAAATGTGAAGGAAGAATCTGGCTCTGAAACTTGTTTGAAAATTGAGGTGAAAAAAAAAGTTGAAATATTTTTTTTTATGAAGAAAAAATGTTTGATATGCCTCGAAGGCCTTTTTCTTACTCACCGCTTGAACTTTTCAGGGAAAAGTCAAGTGCAGGGGTAGGGGGGAGAAAAAGTTTTTTTTTTTTTCAGTTAATTTTCTTGTCTTTTGTTTGATCAACAAATTAAAATCGAGTTACTGAGCCCGATTGGTCTCCTTGGATGGATAATATAATTAAATGAAATAACTGATGTACTTATTCGCGATTTCTGCAGAGTCGGGGCCGTTTTTATTTTTCATTTATCTGTAGGGAAAATTTTTCTGTTATGTTTAAGGAGTTTTCAATCTGTGATTAAGTGGAATAATGAGGGGGAAAAATTTTTCAGTTTTTTTTCTAATTTACAGAAAATTTTATTTTGGGCTTTTGTTTATTTCACTCAATTGCAGAGAAAGATGGGAAAAATTGAATGAAAAATACACAAATTTAAGCACACACCACGAGGGCACAAATCGCGAGAATGTTTTGTTAGATGCGAAAGAGAGAGAGAGAGAGAGATAGAGAGAATGACAGAGTAAATATTTGGGGAGAGAAAGAATAGAGTAGGTTATGATGGTGCCACGAAAAAGGGACAAATTGGGAATGAAAAGAAGAAAAAAAAATAAGAAAAACACATTGAAAGATGTGTTGACTGCATAAGAGAAACAAAAAGTAAGTGGTAGAGAAACTTCTTTGTACATAGCTATTATATAAATATATATAAATAAAATATATATTATTAATTATTAATATTATTAATTATTAATTAATATTTGGTAGGTGTGTAAGGTGGATTTAAAAGAAGAAATTATGAAATAGACTTAAAAAAATAATAACGGAGAAAAACAAATTATTCTATGTACCTTGTCCGAGGAAAAGTGAGGAGAGGGAGATAACTGACGCTGTCCAGCATTTTTTTTCTTAATTTGGTTTCTTTTTTTCATTTTAATTTTTCTTTCCATTCACTTGGCATTTTTTACTACTCAACGAGATAACATTTCAATGTAATTTTGTACTTTTAAAGATTGAAAAATTATACGACCATTAAAATTCAACTTTTCGTTAAATTTTCTTTTTAAAGTAAACACTCTTTTTTAATATGAAACATGATTCATTTGGTAGTCATTCATAGGAGCGAAGAGATTTTTTAGACATTATGAAAATCGAGTGGGTTATAAATCGAAAAGAAAGAAAGAAACGAAAACTGTAGATAATTTCTTGTTACGGCGCGAGCTCGAGATCAGCCATATTGGAACTGAAGAAATAAATAAATTTATGCTCAAGGATTTACTCATTAATTCATCAAATAATCATTATCATTTGTTCACTTTTATTACGCGATATAGTCGTGAAGAATCATTAGAGAGTTTGTCAATTATTTTTTACCAGGTGTTTTAAATCTCGAGGTGATACTCAATTTTCAATATGGCTGACGATAAAACAAATGTCTATTTTAATCTCGAGTGCGTCGCCCCATCTGTGCTCAAGTTGTTTAACTTAGTTTGTTATTAAGAAAATAATGATATACTACCAATTATAACGAATTAATTGTAATTGAAAACTTAAAAAAAAATCGCTCTTTTGGTTTCTTCGATAATTTCATGTTTCAAAAGCTAAAACCGGACAACACATTCACATTTTGTTTGTATTTTAAATTGAACGAAAGTGATATACAAAATTTGACAAAATAAAGACGCATTGTAATGGATGAGACAGTTAATTTTTACGTGTACAAGGGACAGAGTGAACGATCGAATGTTAGTTAATTTTTTTTTAAATGAGTTTAGAACAAATAATAAAGAATGTTCAATTTACTTTCTTTTATGGGGAACAAATGAACAAAAATTATGAGAAAAAATTATGTTACGGGAAACCGGACCTCGCGCTTTAATTGTGATTTTTTTCTGTCTATTCTTAGTTCTCATTAATTATTATTATAATATGATTTTCGTTTAATAAACTATCCCGTTTAAAAAATCCCAATCATGCTTGTTGTTTTTTTTTTATCAATCAATTAATTCCTCTATTATTTCTCTCGATTGATGAAGAGAACACACAGTCACTCTTGGCATTAATTTTTCAATTATTTCACCGGAAAACTTGTTGGTGGACCAATCAATCAGTTAATAAAGACTATTCGTTGTTTATAAATAATAAAAACAATTATAGTTTGGATAGTTCATTTTCATCCCTCAAATCCTACGATTCAATATGGCTTCCAGAATAAAATCTCTACAGATGCCGTCCAAAAGACCACGAGAGAAATAAATTTAGTTGAGTGATGAAATATCATATCGTTTCACTTTTTCACGACTTTTCTTAAATTTTGTTTTTTTTTTAGTAGAATTAACGGGCAAAGTGAGCAATTGAAATCGAAAGCGAACCCTACTTTCAGTATTTTTCAAGTTTCTTGTTTTATAATTTTTTTATTTTTCATAATTTTTACGGATGTTGGATGATGGACTGAGAGAGAAGTGTCCAGGTGAGAATGCGTGTAACAAAGGAGAGAAAAATAAAACAATTCACCAAACTAAATGAGTGGTACGAACAGAACTGTGATATCTAACTGTAAAAAAAATTATTTGAGGATTTAAATTGAATAGAGAATGAGGAGAAAACTCACGACGATTAAAGAGCAAAATTTTAACTGAATCTAGTAGTTGATCAACATGTATTTTACAATGGATGATTAAGGAACAATTGCGATCGTTCGAGTTCAAAATTCTCAAGTTAAAATCCGTCGATATGAGATGAAAATAATTCCATTTTAACGAGTAGTCAATTTTTTAAAACGAAAATTTCAGCATTAACTTGAGATTTTTCACTATCGAATAATCAAGAATTCATAAGCCGATGTGTTTAATCGTTTCCTGTTTGTAAAATTTCTGAAAGAAAAAAAATATATGCTAAGTGTTTCCTAAAACGAAAAATTATAAACCAAGAATCGAAAGAAACTCTTCAGGCGCGCAATAAACAAATTTAGATTGTAATTTGAATTTTTTTTCATTAAATATTTGAGTGCACTCTCGCGCCTCTTCGTGCCCTCATAACGAAAATTATTTCTAAAGTTTGAAAAATTGTCCCCTACGAACCCTCAACCAACAACGAGATAAATTTTTCGATTAAAAAATTAATACTGAAAGAGAAATTGCAAAATTAAAAAGATATAAAATATTCTTAAGGTTTTACGGTACACAAGAGAATACATAGAAAAATAGAATAGATAAAAATTAATAAAATAAAGGGAAATAACAAAACGGGCGTCGATTGTGTGACGAAATGAATGAAATTTCCTGACTAAATGATGTTTTTCCATCGCCACTTTTTCCAATCTCCGAATAAACGAACAAATTATTTTAGATGTAATTTTTTTACCATCAAATTTTCTGTATAAAATGATCAAATGATATGATTATTGTAATTTAACTCTTCGAAAGTTCTCAAATAGCACAAAATGAATGAATAAAATTCTTGAAGATAAATTCATAGTTGTTAAGATCGTACGCCCGTAGCCAATACGCGTCTATGGTTATAGATTTATTCTAGATGTATCAATAAAAAAAAAAGAATGAAAACGATTAAAAAATCGAGAAGTGGAGTGAAATTGAAAAAAAGTGTTGTCATTCATTTTTATTCTTCAATATAAACCCCATGTTCCAGAGAAATTGTCCATCTTAAATGAATTACTTGCTAATTCTATATCCCAGATGATTATTTGAATCGCCAGTTTGAATTCGACCAGCTGTTGCCATCTTTAAGGTTCAAATTTGAAATATGCTTCACCTCCAGTGACTCAGTCGATAATTCATCAAATGCTGATAATTTATCCTGAATTTTCTTCGGCCCTTCGATTTATCTGATTATCTCCCAGATAACTGTCAAATGAGACAGTGAGACACCCTATTCCCTTGTCACTCCCAACAATCGAATAAATTGAATTCTAACATTCAATTAAAAATTCAGTCCTCTCCATGAAGGGATAAACAACGAGGTCATCGAAATGGCATTTCTCGAGGTACAAATAATCATTTCATTAGAATATTTCTATTTTACACTGTTTCATCAAACTATAACCTGAAAACGACTCATTATATCTAAAAACAAATAATTCAATTAATGTTACAGTGGAGAAGGTTCAACTTTTTCGATTTGAAAAAGGAAGTCGATGGGGGAAAAATCGCAGAAGCTTTGGGGGTGAGACTTTATTTTCTATTTTCTTTCTTTCCTCATTTATCAGAATATCATAGAATTTCCCACAACCAGAACTAAAGCTATTTTATAGAAACAATCAATAGCATTTGATTTTTCCGTGTGTGTAAATTCTTTCACAAATAATTACCTATTGAAGTGTTGAATGACATTCTGTTGAATTCGATGTTATTTGTTACGTTATTCCAATTATGAAAGATTGACTACGAATTTCTAGAAAAAAAATATTTAAATACAGAAGAGAATATAATTTTCCCAGAGTGCTCGAGTGAATGCTTCCACCAGTGGCAATGGCAACCTCATATTTGGCGATGATACCGGGAACATTCATGTCGTTAAAAGAACCTATCAAGTTTCCACATTCCGAGGCTACGAGATAACCCTCTCCCTCGCCGAACAAGTGGAGCACTCAACCTATCTATTCACAATCGGCGAGGACGATCCGGGATGCAATCCCACAATAAAAGTCTGGAACTTTGCAAAACTCGACAAACAAGAGAACCCCACATGCGTGAGAATCACTCGAGCAATTCCCAGTTTCCGGCCGGTTCCAGCAACCGCCTTATGCGTTCACCAGAGTCTAACTCTGATGGCTGTTGGTTTCACCGATGGTTCTATAATGCTGTACCGTGGTGATCTGACACGTGAAAGAAAAAACAAGATAAAAATCCTGAAAGACAGTACAGCCCCAATAACCGGTTTACAAATCCGTTCAACAGGCAAGCAGAATCACCTCTTCGTGGCAACAACCATGAACGTTTACCTCTACAACATAACAGTAAAGGATAAGGAAGTCAAGACAGTCCTGGACAACATGGGCTGTGCAGACAGGTGCAGTGTCCTAGCAGAGACGAGCCAAGACAGTCATTTTATGATAGGAAGGACTGATGCGGTATATTGTTACACTCTAGATGGCAGAGGTCCTTGCTACGCCATCGAAGGTCAAAAGGCGATGCTGGATTGGTTCCGAGGATATCTGGTAATAATCGCGAAGGAATCCGGAAACGTACCTCGCTCGACAACAGTCTCTTCGAAGCCATCGGCAATCGAGCCGATTCCCCCGGGGGCTGATAAACACATGATAACTGTTCTCGATATACAAAACAAGTTCATTGTCTTTTCTGCATCGATGCTGTCGATCCAGGCAATCCTCTCTGAGTGGGGCGGCTTCTTCATCCTCTCTGGTGATTCCAAGCTTTATCACCTAGATGAGAAGGATCTCCAGTCGAAACTGGCTCTCCTCTTCAAGAAGAACTTGTACGACGTATCAATCAGAATCGCCAAGAGCCAGCAGTACGACACCGAAGGCTTGGTCGATATATTCCGACAGTACGGGGATCATCTGTACTCCAAGGGAGATCACAACGGTGCAATAGAGCAATACATCCGGACAATAGGAAAATTGGAGCCGTCGTATGTAATCAGGAAATTCTTGGATTCACAACACATTGATAATTTAACGACGTACCTTCAGGCGCTTCACAAGGAGTCCCAGGCCACTGAAGATCACACAACTCTACTTCTCAATTGTTATACTAAACTCAATCACACGGATAAACTCAAAGAATTCATCATGACGAAGGATCGCGAGGTGGATTTCGACGTAGAGATTGCTATAAAAGTGTGTCGTCAAGCCTCACCTGAGGACGCTCTTCTTCTCGCCAAGAAGCATAAGAAACATGAGTGGTATCTTAGAATTCAGATTGAGGACAAGAATGAATACAAGACAGCACTGGAGTACATGGAGACACTGAACTTTGAGGAAGCTGATGACAATATGAAGAAATATGGTAGTGTTCTGATTACTAATGTTCCGAGTGAGGCCACGCAGTTCCTCAAGAAGCTGTGCACGAATTATCGAGCTGTCGATAAGCCACTGATTGATGAGAATGTTCTTGATGGAACGAATGAGGAGATCGTTGAGAGGTCGAATCCTGAGGACTTTATTCATCTTTTCTTGAACAATTCTGAGAGGCTTGTGGAGTTTCTGGAGCACCTCGTGAAAACTGACACCAAGTGGAGTACAATGGTTTATAATACCCTGGTGGAACACTATCTGCACGTTTGGGGGGCACAGTCCAGTGAAGTCATGAGGGTGCAGTACGAGCAGAAGGTCATCAGATTGCTGCAAAGCTCGGAGGCATGTTTCGATAGAGATCAGATTCTCGTGCTGTGTCATCAGCACAATTTCAGGAAAGGAGTGCTATTTCTCTACGAGGAGAGAAAACTCTACCAGGAAATACTGCAATTTCACCTGAGGGAGAGGGACGACGAGAATGTCCTGGGGACGTGCAAGAGATTTGGACATCAGGATCCAAATCTGTGGATTCAAGCCCTGTGGTGTGTTGCCAGGGATAATAACTCCAGTCCAAAACTCCTGGCGGATATCCTGGGGGTCATCTCCAAGGAGAAGCTTCTGCCACCTTTAATGGTGATCGATGCACTCTCCACGTCATTGAATTGCAGTCTTGGAGACGTCAGGGAGTACTTGGACGCGGTTTTGAAAGCCGAGGAGGAGCAGACGAAGCAGGACGCTGAGTTGGTGGAGAAGTACAGGAAGGACACGAAAAAGCTGAGGGAGCAGATCGACTGGATCAAGGGAAGTACTAATATTTTCCAAGGGAACAGGTGCTCCGCTTGTCATCACCAGTTGGAGCTACCCTCTGTGCACTTTATGTGTCAACATTCTTATCATCAGCACTGCTTCCAAAGTTTCTCAGAGAATGAGAACGAGTGTCCTGCATGTTTGCCGAAGAATAAGCAGCTGTTAGACAGGATCAGGGCGCAGGAGCAATCACAGGATCTTCATGAGACTTTTCACAGTCTGCTGGATAGAGCTGAGGATCCATTTTCACTGGTTGCAGATTATTTTGGTCGTGGGGTATTCAAGAAACTCATGATCATCACTGATGCCGACAGACCTGTGGTTCAGACTCCTGTCATTACTCCAGTGGCTAGACCCCAGGAAAAGATCAATTACAATGCCTATGGCCCTGGGGCCGAGGCCAAAATAAGACTGACTGAGGGAAAAAATACAAGTCTAATTAAGAATGAAACTCGCAGGCTCGATCCCTTCGGAGAAGATCGAAAAAATCAGAAGCCAGAAGTTTATTCCACATCTTTAGAAGCTAATGTATCTGCAAGTCCTCGTTCGAGCAAGAAATCTTCTCCTGTCGCCATCCGGGAAGCCAGGATTGTTAATAATCAGAGTCCCAGGGCATCTCCCGGGGCCAAGGCCTTCGTCCCACCAAAAACTCCGATTGTACCTGCGAATCCTTTCGCGGAGAGTGATTACGATGAGAAGAAGAATCCCTTCGCCGAAGAGGGCACCAATCCTTTCGATGGGGATGAGGATGATAACACTGGGTTCGAGGATGACTATAACAAGAACTTGAATCCCTTCGCTAGTTAATTAGGCCGCCATTGTGAAAACTTTTTTCGTTTTTCAGCTGTGAATGAACTTCTTCCTTGAGAAAGTGTAAATATTTGAGGCACTGTCGTGTAAGTCATTAGATAGATTTATTATTCAATTCGTATGCAAATGTATGGACAATGTACAGTTTGAGAAATATAATGAATGTATAGGAACTGGTGATTATTTTCTGATTAAGTGGATTATGTCATGATACCTATTTATTACTCAATTTCTATGAAAGCATTTAAAATTATGATTCCATAGACGGCGGACTTTTCGGAAATTACAAATTACGCATTAAATTTTCATTTCCCGAAAATATTGTTTCGTTAACAATTTATAAAAAAGTAGAAAATATACTGTATTTAAAGGACACATTTTTCGTTACATTTAGCTGATTTAAATCGTCGGCTCGTCCAGGGACATTTTCCAATGGTTAATTTTATCGCTGACGCTAAATCCACTCCATTCATCGATGCTCTCTGAAGTTCTGGGTCTGATTCTGAAGGCCTCGGAATACTCCTTTGGATACTGGGGAATGAAAAAATCGGACAGATTTGGAATGAAGTCTTTGGGCCGTGGCTCTGGATCCTTGCTCCTTGTCAATCTCATAGGCAATTGTTTCTCGTCAACACTGATATCCACCAAGTCGTGGTAAACTGATTCGGACGGGGGAATATCGAGCGCTGACGATATCTGTGGAATTATGAAAAAATTGTATAAATCCTACAAAGACAAATTTATCAAACAAACATGTAACGGTGTAATTATTCTCTCATTATGTTATATTATTATTATTAACTAATGCACTTAACATTTTTCCAAGAATATACGTTTATATATTCTAAAAATGATGATAAATTCATTAAAGTAATTTAATCCGAACGTATCGTAAATTAATTGAACTATAATTGGTGTTAATGAATAGAATTAATTGAAGTTCATATTCAACGAAACATCCTCCACAGAAAAAAAATCAAAACAATTCGAAAAATTGATAAAAAATAATCATAATAATAATACAAATCGTCCATTAAATTAAAATGACAGCGACAATTTTCTAATATTTGCTGTGGTCTAACATGCGCTAATCTAGTGAATGAACATTAATGAATACCTTTCCATTGACGAGATCCTTGTAACCCCCAGGAAGATTGTCTAAATTCCCAACAACTTTTTTTCTCCTCACCTCCTCCAACTTTTTAATAGTGCAGACGATAGAGTTATATTCAGGCCGTCGCAGCAGATCTCCAGGTTCACTATCAATCTTCGGTACCTTCTCATCGCCCTCCTCTCCATTTCCTCGGTCCCTAAAAACCCCAGGCCCAACGAACACCTGGGGAATGGGTCTGGCCACTCGCCTCAGGACTTTGACTTCATTTCTCTTCGTTTCGGGTGTTTTCTTCCCCTTCATGCATGGCATCAGGCCCAAACTCCTTCTTCCAGAAGTTGTGGCTTCTCTTGGAGGACATCCTCCACCTCTAGGCTTTCTAACACTGGTCAAATGTCCTTTCGATACAGAAGAATAATTATTCTCTTTCTTATCAATTGTTTTAGATTTTTTTACGTCAATTCTTGCTGGAACTGTATTCAACACCTTCTTGTTAACGTTCTCCTTGTTTTCGATTTTTCGGTCAATCCCCGAGGGTCTTCCTGGCTTATTCTGCGTCGATGGGGCATTTTTAGGCTTCAGGATGGATTTTGAGGGAATTCTTACTGGTGAGTTGACTATTTTTTTTGGGTCTGGAGGCTTTTTTGTGGGTTGAGGTGGTTTTTTCCTCTGTTTATCTGCCATTTTGAGCTCTTCCAGTTTCTTCTGGAGATAGTCCAAGTCGTGGGAGGGTTTTTTGGGTCTTCTGGAATCCTCTGAGGATGATGGGAGGGTTGACGAATTCGGTTTTACCTCAGGCTGTAGTGGTCTTGGTGGGTTTCGGAGATTTGGCACGACATTTTCGGGTTCTGAGAGTGAGCTTTCTTCCTGGGCGGAGCGAATTAATTTCACAGGGTGTTTCAAGATCACTACCTCGCGAATTTTAGGACCTTGAAAAGGTCCGAGGCCTTTGGAATCCTCGGGAGCCTGGGTAAACCTCACCTTAGGCTGCGTCAAGGGGTTTGCAGGGTCCGACATTTTTGGAAATGCTTCGGGATTTACACTGAACTTATTGATGATAAGCGCTGGGTTGATTTTACTTTTGGAGGAGTCATCAGAGGCTAGGGTAAAACTCTGAAGATTGGGGGTTAGCACGAGGATGTCTGGGATTTTGACAGATCATTTACTACTATTTCCCGCGTTTTTTTGTAGTCTTCTTTGCGCCGAACTTCAAACGCTAGAGTAACAACTACACTCCCTCGGAAGACCAGAAGTCCCCTAGGATCAACTTTTAATTTCACTAGAAGTTACCAGAGCGGTGGCGACTTTTTCAAAATTTAGCGCCGAATTCGAAAGAGATGACTCAATCCAAATTGACTCGATGGTAATTAGATTCGGAATGAATTCAAATAATTCCAATTGACAAGTACAAAGAGAACACAGTAAGTTAATTCAGAATAATTCAACTTTCCATTCTTCAAAGGTAGTAAAAGAATCATGGAGTAATTCGATTAAATTTCTTAAACATGAATGAATGGATGAATGAATGAATGAATGAATGAATGAAATAATGAAGAGAGAAATACCTGGATAGAATGATTCTTTTAAACCGAATACAACAAATTTCCCTTCTTTAAAAATAGTAATAAACAAATGGTTTAATAATGCTATTTAATTTCTTGTACGCAAATTAAAATAATCAACCGCATTGGAGACGTACGGTGGGGGCTAGAGGGGGAAAACAAACTTGTGCGACGATTTATTGTTCCCGATTAATTTAATTCACGTTCAGGAAATTAGATAAGGGGCTTTTGTCGTTCTTTATGAATTTTCACGAAATCTAATAATCTTTGTTACTAAATAGAAGCATTATCTTTGTCGGATTTTCAGTCTGGTGAAACGTAACTAAAAATGGATGAATTAGAAGAATTTTAATAAGAGTGCAAGGTGAAAAAAATATAAAGTTAAAAGCATCGAATAATACACGGAATCAATGTGAAACGCCAGTGTCATTAATCAATTCGGATGTAACTTCATCCACTACTTAATAATTATTCATAAATGAATTGGAGAATTCATAAATCAATTGGAGTGAAAATTGTTTAATTTTGTGGGGCCCACCTGGGAAAATAGTGCGAGGGCCATTCTTTTTTCGTTTTTCAGCACCAGCAGAATATAAAGGGAGACATCATTTGGGAGGAGTCAGTTCGCATCAGGCAATTATAAAAGTCTTAAGATGCACGGCGAAATATTCCTTACCTTAATGATCATTGCAGTCTCTTGTGGTGTATCACGGGTGAGTTAAACTATTATCTATAAGTGAATAATGTGTTTCCGTAACGCTCTCTTTTTCTTCTGTTCGTTGGATAATTTCTCTCCCTCTTGTATGGAGGTAACATAGTGCAAATTTATTCGAAAGCTCATTGAACTAGTTTAAAAAAATACGTGACTTATGGGATCCCCACAATTTTTCATGGAGTGATGGCATTTCGATCGTGGAAATGTGATTTCCATGTTTTATCAAGTGTTTTACCTAGATTACAACTTTCGGTAATTTTTTCTATATTTCTAGAACAAGTGGATAGGAATATTTATATATCATTTTGAAGAGCATTTTAGGCTCTTTGGAATAGCATCAGTTGCATCTGAATTACACGGAGAGAAAAACACTGGAAAAATTACGGAACGTTTACGTCATCGTGGGATGACCTCGCTTTTCGGGATAAAGTACTGAGAGTATAATAAAGTACTTTACGAAACTTTCAGGACAATTTTTATGGTACCTCCAGTACTTTCCCCTCAAAATCAAGGTTACCCCACGTCTACGCAACATTTCGGTAATTTTTCGTGTATTTTTCTGTCCGTGTAGTTGCGTTTTTGTAAAGTTCTTCATTAAAAACAAAAAATTTTAACTATTATATACAGGCCTTCAAATTTGGATCTATTGCTGATTATTGTAGTAGTCGATATGCATTAGGGTAAAAAATATTCCATCCCATTTAGAAGGACCGAATACACTATTTATAGAATCGTTTGGATATCCCGACTATATCAATTTGATGAAGAGTTATCGATCAAAATCTGTCTAACTTCACGTGTCACGTTTTGAAAAATAGTCATTCCGTGTAAATAGAATCCACACCATCTCTTATAATTCCCACAAATACCGATACATTTCATTTTCATAGACAAACTTATCGAATATATTGTCCAAAACAGCGAAGAGGAAATAAGAATTATAGAAAAAATGTATAATTTTGCATTTTGTTAATCAAAAACGTTAAACTGATTAGCTGCAATCGGATAATACGTAGTCACTAAAAAAATTATTTTTGCATTAAATCATCGTTAAAATCCTTTTTCATAATATTATTTAAATTCAATAATAGGGATCTCCCTTGCATTGCGATCTTGGAATGGATTATTGGTGTCTCTCAGAAGTTACTGCTCGAGAATGCAGAGTAAGTTGAATAAATTAAAACTTTCGGTACTGAATTCAAATTTTCGATTGATGCGAATCATAGGCCACGTTAAACCATTGGAATATCTGAATACTATTGTTACTTCCAGAAAGAATCGTTTTGCGGCATAATTCAGGAGGCGTGGAATTTTACGTCGACGACATCGAGTACAACTTCTCAACCAACATCTACTGCACATTCCCTGAAGATCGGGTGGCCTTATGTTACTCCTGCACCAGGTCGTTATACCGGTCTATATCCAAGTGGTATTTTCGGAAAATAAACATCAATACGAGTGGATAATTTATTTTTGTTATCAAGCTATGTAATTCTAGTTCATTAATTAATTTGATAAATAAAATAATTATTTCATTACTGTTTCATTTAAAATGACTAATGTAGAATGCCAGGAATTAATCACTTTCAAGGCTATCCTAAAATAATCAATGATCGAATAATTAGTTAATTTCGAAGAAACGCAAAAAGTTGATGATTTTTTTTATTTCAAGTAAAGTTCTTGCGTGTAATATAAAATGACAATTCCAGAAATTAAAGAAATTAATAATAAGTCCAATGGTATTAAATTATAATTATGATATAATTATCTTCCCATGAAACTAGAATGTCAAATATAATAGCCAGAAAGTTTATTTTGACAGTGACAAATCAGTTCGTTCCTTTTTCTGGACTTGCCTAGAAGATTAAAAAATACAATGCTTCGATGAAACAGCCACCTCCATTGAATAATTAGATATTAGTCTTAAACCCGAAGGTAAAAAATTACATCATTGATGTTATAATGATCATCACACCTAAAAGAGGTCGAATCGTCTTCAGACCCTTCAGAATTAATAGTTAAATGAGATGATTCACTAATTGATAAATTAAAAAATTATGTAATCAACCGAAATCAAGTTCTTTTATCGATGGCTTCATATATTTTTTTATTACAAAAATTCATTAGTGGGAGTAGAATGATGACGGTTAATTATGATGGTAAATTCTTCAGGTAAAGATGTAATACATATCATAGAAGATTATTGATATAACAGATTATGCGTCATTTAAATTCTGACCGTATCGAATCTAATAATGAAACGCGGCTAATCTATGCAAATTAAATCTCAAGGATACCTGAATTTTTATAAGGTACTTTTGTACTCTTCATTGTTAATTGAATGTATATCTCATACGCACATAAGCTATCAAGTTCAATTGATTAGAAAAGTAAACAGTATGGTATTTCCGCTGTTCTCATCAAACTATCATTTATAAAAAAATCAACCTGGACGATATATAAAGGAATTTGGCTCTACTGAACCGGAAATGAGTATTATTAACGCATGACGGTTCACATATCACTAGGCAATTATCGATACGATTAGTTCGTAGAGCGGTTTATATGGAAATTCTTCAATTCTCTCAATCGCACTTGAGAAAATACGAAAATTATGGATTCCCTATTTTTACCCATTCGCGGGATATAAAAGCGAGAAGTGCGATGGTTGAAGAATCAGTTTGCACTGAACAATCAGAGGATCTTCAAGATGTACACCAAAGTATTTCTTGCATTAATGATCATCCCAGTCTTTTGTGATTCATCACTGGTGAGTTCAACTTTAAGGATCGTTTGGATTATCTGGAAAAGATAATTTACTCCAAAATTGGGATTCCTAATTACTCTGGCAATTAATCGTTTTTTTTTCAATAATTGTTAGCTAGCGGTCTAGCGGTCGTCAACGACTAGAACGCTAGCTAACAATTATCGGAAAAAACAATTAATTGGCGGAGTAATTAGGAATCCCAATTTTGGAGTAAATTATCTTTCCGAGATACTCCATCCGGCCCTTAAAGCTATTTGTGCTCCGACGACTGTTGTTGTCTTCAAGAATGAAATTTTACTTTTTTACTTTTACTTGAATTCAATCATAGAGCTCATCTGGGAATTGCGACATCGGAGTGAGCTATTGGTGCTCATCAGAAGCTGCTGCAAAGGAGTGTCAAGTGAGTCTGATAAATTGAAACGTTCAGTATATTAACGAAATCATTGAACAACGAAAATTCATGTACTGTAAATTTTAATTCGATTGGGAATTCCAGAAAGAAGCATTTTGTCACACTATTCTATTGGCCACGAGGACTCAGGTGTTGATAGAACCAGCTAAGAACCCAACTTCTGCACCACTTCTACCATCGCATGGTTGGCCCTATGTTACCCCAGCACCAGGTCGTTATACTGGCCTGTATCCAGGAACATTCGGAAAATAAACATCAAGACGAATCACTGATTCAATTAATTGCAAAATGAGTAACAATTCTTCTGTCTTGCGAGTCATTTCTAGAGACTATCTAGAGACTACGCATTTGAATAATTTGAATGTATTATGATATTAAATAACAGCCTCATAAATCAGATAGTACATTAAACTGATTGTTTTTACTTATTATGCATAATTATCTTGTAATACATCTCCTTCCGTAATACCTGCACTCAAAATTATTTATTTATTCCAAATGAAATTCGTTAATTTTGAGGAGTGGATCAGTTAAAGGGTGACAGTTAAATCAAACATCAAACCTAATTCGCATTTAATACCTTTCAACGAATAATTAAAAAAAATTGAGGATCTTGAGACTAATTCGACTCTAATAATGAACCCAAAAGAGAAAGCGTGGAATACGGAGAACCGCAGAATTTGAAGTTTTAACGGGAAACTCAAAAATATTTGCTAAAATTAACGTAGCCTTGAGAAAATACTGAAAATTTCGACACAATTTTCTTCCACTGTTGTATGATTTTTACTAAGATTTTCTGAACTGTTGCTGAGCGTCATGATCACTAAACGTCAGCGTACATTTAATTATCCATTTTTCATTAGTCATTACCTAGTAAAAATATAGTCAACCGATTGTGGGGCACATGCCCCTGGATTAACTCCATTGATTATTATTGAGTTTCTTCAGATACTCAATTGTTTTACGATAAGAAATGGATGGAATTCTTTAATATTGATAATTAGATAATTTATCAGATGTTTTTTTCACGATTTACGTTTGATTTCATAAATAATTAACCTGTTATAAATTCATGCAGTCAATTTGGTATTCAACGATCCGAATTATATTCCCAACAATTTTTATTTGAAAAACTATCGAGTCATTGATTTAAAAAAAAATCTAAAGCGTGACACTCCATTTATGTGAAAAGTTGCCTAGATTCAGAAAATTTGAATCTCAAGTTCAAGGCGGACAATTTCAAACAGAAAGTGATCACCTTGCAACTATTTTTTTTTAACTACTCACCGTAAAAATTTTGACAAAAACATTTATTCCGACAGCAGTCTTAATTAATTTTTCTAAAATCCAGAAGATAAAACTCTATTAGTAATAGTAAAGACTTTTCCGAGTTCTTATCGGTCATAGTTTCCTCTTCAATCAATCGTGTTTTTGCCAACGTGAGATAATACTGCTATCTCATTCTAAGAATCGGAAACACCTACGCAAATGTCTATTCAAATCTACTCAATCGAAGAATAAACATTGTTAATAGCAGCGAAGCGCCATTTCACTCCACAATTTCTGTAATGTTCGCAATTGTAAAGTGTATCACATGGAAATTGCTCAATTATTGATGTCGCACCTGGAAAAATAGTGCGAGGTTCACGTTCAACTCATGTTCTCATTAATTGATAAAGTATAAAAGGAGCCATCAATTGGGAAGAAATCACTTGAGACTGAGAATTGAGCCGACCCTCAAGATGTGCGGCAAAGTGTTTATTGCTTTAATGATCATTGCAATCTCATGTGATTCATCACTGGTGAGTTTGAGTTTTTATCTTCCCTTCGCGTATTTTGTGCAATCTGAAAGACTAATTACTTTTGAATCTAATAATTTGTAGGGATCTTCTGTGGACTGCGCCAATCCCGCGATTTGGTGTCAAACAGAAGTTACAGCGAAGACGTGCGAGGTAAGTCGCGTCGATTGAAAGCTTCTGAATGAAATTTTTTAATGACTGAATGTTATTAATTATTGATTCCAGAAGGAAGAATTTTGTCTCATCATGCGAGATCAATTCTATGGAAAATCGCAAAAAGTTGATACGACCACAACTCCAGCACCAACAACAACTTCAGCTTCTGTGCCACTAGTTGCTCTACCTCCATCAAGTTCTACGTGGTTTTATGTTACCCCTGCACCTGGTCGTTACACTGGCTTGTATCCAGGTGGTATTTTTGGAAAGTAAATGTCACTGAGGTTTCTCAAAATCAATTTATAGCAATCACCCAAATTGTACATCTGAACAAAAGAAATTTATCATTTTATAGCAATTTGATAAATTAAATAGTGAAATAAAGTCTGATTGTACGTTCATTCAACTGTCATTAACCTGATTATAGTTATTTGAATCCTTTCCCCTGATCCAAGAGCTATTGAGTTCTGAAATCAAATCTCTAATCTATAGTCAGATCGATTAATTTTCCATTATTTGGGGGAATTACAAGTTTCTGTAATTACAAATAAAGTGATAATGGTGAGTTAAGGTAATTATTTCTCTTTGGGAGACTATTCAGGAGTTTATGAGAATTTATAATCTGAGGTGAATATTCCCTGTTGAATTGTATCGAATTTTTAGCAGTGATACTAGGTCAAAAAAGTGCGGAAATCGATTTTGTCCGCGAAATGGTGATTGAAATATAATTGAAGATCTATTTTTAAGATTAAGTGACAATATGTATACATATATACTTGAAGTCCGGATAGTTGTCTTATGTGTCATCGGAAAAATGACTGAAATAAGTCGTTCATCTTTTGAAAAAAATCAAGATTCAAATGCGAAGAGAATTAAATTTTTTATGGCGTATTTTGCTAGTTTCTTCGCAGTTGGTGTTGATCAGCACCGATGAAACTCGGCACCTGTGGAAATACAAGTGGCCCCTATTGATATTCAAAAAACAAACTGTATTCGTTGAAATCTCATTATACATCTGGTAAAATTATTGGTAAAATTTACTCACTAGTGACGAGTCACAAGAAATTGTTGCATAAGAGACAATTCATAACTTTTGAGCATCTTGATAGGTTGAAAAATTACTATATGAAACTAGTTCCTAATTAACATCTTGTTTGAGATTCCTTTGATAAAAGGTCAACGACCACTAAACTGCTTCAAAAGATGTACCATTAGTAGAATCCGATGTTCCTATAGTCGAATGGAACGAAGGAAACCTTGAAAGTTTTTTATTATAACAGTTGTACGTTAAAAGAAACTCGGAAAATTCAGAGGAATCTGACTTTCAAGAGTAGATTTTCATATTTTTTCACTTTTCCTAGAATAATTCGACTAAAAGGTGCAGAAGGAATTATCGATTTTTAATGCCAAAAATTCGTTGAAATTTCACTGGAAATCTTCTTTACGTATTAATGGTTAATTTGTTCTTCTT